ATACACTTTAGTTTGCTTACACCCACACACTCCTCAAAAGAAACCACGAAATGAGCACATTTCAGAACATTTTTACACTAACGCACATCCGTGCACTTAGAGGTGCGCATAGTGCTGTTCACCCACGCAAAAAAAATTACTTATACATCCTCGATATCTAAAATAATCTTCTCCTTATGCAATCTGCATGTTATATAATTCATGGCCTGTCATTATCACAGCGCTCCTTCACGCCCTGCTGTGCCTCTCCACCTACAGCACCACACAGACAGGCAGACACACACACACACACACACACACACACACACACCCTGCACCTTGTGTTGACAGTCATATACTCTACTCTAGCACTCTCACCCACGTTGAGTGTGGCGCTCTCAAACACCCAGCCAGATGAGTGAGAGGGAAAGACAGAGAGGAAGACCGAGAGTGGGTGGGCTGGAGGGACTGAAAGTGAAAGAAAGAGAGGGAAAACTTGGAGAGCTAAAGATACATTCATGCAGAGACTAGACTTTTCATGATTACCTTATTTGAAATGTGTATTTCTTTTAGACGTATGTGCTATATGTCATCCCAGAGAAAATTCACATCTTTCACCCATTGAAAAAACCTGTTGTCGGTGAAGCATTTAAGAAACCACCGGTTCATTGGAGGTCATGTCACTCTCACTGTGGTCAGCATCCCACCTTTAGGTCATGACACATTTGTGTCTCTCGCATTTCTTGCACGTCATTCTCAGAGGAAACATAAGGGGAATCGAATCTGAGGCCATCTTACTGTCTGGTAAACATTTTTTTTAAACTGTGCAGTCTTAACATAAGCTCCGATTTTTTCTTGTCACCTTAAATGAGTTTGAAAAGTGCATCTTGTAAATTTCCAATTGTTTAAAATGAACAGACAATCAAACAAGACTGCCTCTATATCAAATAAAATGTGGTCAATGTAAGTAAGTAAGAAAAAAATTACATTTTCTAGTTTTTCTCTGGTGAGCTAGTTCTTGGTTTTAGCCACTTTCAGATCATCCAATGGGACCTGCTAGGCCACTGTTCCCAGATCAGCTCGCTCACAGTTGGATGGCTCTGAGAATTGACTTGGGAGCTAAACGGGGAGCCAGGAGTGTGATGAATAATCCCAAACATAGGCAGGTGTCTGAATACAGTTGACACAGTGCCAGACTACTTAAAGGTGACAGACACACTAGTCAGTCGGGGTGTACCGTAACAGAAAAGTGATATTTCATAGGATGAATTTTTGCATTTGATGCATTCTATTTTTATTTTGTACTAACTACTTGCTTCTTGCCTGTGTGCTGCTGCAACACCTGAATTCCCCCCTCTGGGGATCAATAAAATGTAAACGTGCGTGTGTGCATATGCAAAAATTGCAATCAGTCGGTTCTCAGAGTCATTCAAACAGCTGTTTGTTCATACGGATCATTTTCGTCGGTCCTGACTCACTAACCCTTGTGTATGATCAAGCAGTATGTTCTCCTCCTCCTCCACACTTCATCTACATTAGGGGTCGATGACCTTCGAACCCTGCCACCCACTGCTTACACCCACAGTTATTCAGCCAGGCCTGCCTCTTTGCCTGATGGAACCTGTGCAAGATAATCTGCTCTCTTGTACACGCAGATCAAATATATACAAACCCAATATATTGCACAGTATCACAGTACAGAAGGTGTAACATCTGAGACATCCTGCAGCCTATAGCATCAATAGTGGCCTTTATAGCCTGTCTATAACCTTTCCTACCCTTGCAATCCTTCCCTATTCATTAACTTCTTTTTTTTTTTTTTTTTTTACAGCACATCATTAAAATCACCACTCAAAAGCTCTCTCTGTTTTTAAATACTTTTAAAGTTTTTTTTGTGGAAATAATTTCAAGAGGTTATCAAATTGCAGAGTGACAATGGTGCTCTCTTACGTAGGAGTGGGACTCTCCCTAATTTTCATTTTATAAACATGTATTAAACCCACTCAATCCTTTTTTTTTTCAATAATTTCCAGCACCTTTTAGAACAAACAGCATAAGCCATGTGTTGAGTTAATGGCTGTGACCGTGTGTGTGTGTGTGTGTGTGTGTGTGTGTGCATGCCTGTGTGCTTGCATGTGTGTGTGTGTGTGTGTGTGTGTGTGTGTGTGTGTGTGTGTGTGTGACTGGGCAGCAGAGTTTGTGTGGGAGGGGTTGTAGAACAAAAGCAATAATGGCAGTGTATAGCGATGTTGCCTTGAATACAGTGAATACAGTGCAACGATAAAGGTACTCCAGACAGTATCTATGAAGCCAGTCTAGACAGTCTCTCAGAAAAATGAATGGCACTTGAGCTGCCAATGGGAGACCTGGCCATGCTCTCTCTCCGTGGAGATGTCATCACTTTGCTTTCAGCTTTCTGACATTTTGCTGTTAAACCAGAGAACCAACACAAACCCATTTTGACTGGCAGTCTGAAGGGGAATGGTGCCAAAAACAGCAAATCTTTGGAATGAAAGTAATCCCCCCCCCAATTCTTTTCACACACTCCCCTCGCCCCATCTTTCTACCCCATCAGACACTTTGCTCTCGCTCGCTGAGTCTCTCTTTTCTTCCAAACCCCCTCTCCCCCCCCTCCCCTCATAAGCTACTGATCTCATAGCGTGAGAGTACTACTCACATCAAGGGCTCTGAGTTGGGCTAATCATAAAGTAGGAAGAGGCAGACTGCTACCTGTGCGCCTCTGAAGCTGAGCATGTAAAAAAGTTTGAAAACTAATTTAGCAAAAATAAACAAGTGAGCTGAAAGACGAGGAACACAAAAGCATGACTGTGCATCAGCAGTATGTGACATCACAGCAGTTATGCAAGAATTGCCGTCAACCAACCAATAGTGGCACATTTGATGTTTGTTTCACATTTCTTTTTATCTGTTTGTGGTGCTTTTGACAGCTTACAAATTGAAACAAAAGTCAACTCTCTGTGGATGTAACTATAGCTGCATGGCTCAAAAGCCGCACAACAGGCATTTTTTATCAGATTGAGGCAGTGGAAAAGTGCGAAAATGAAACTCCCATTAGCAGACACTTAAATGTCAATGAATGACAACAACATAACACCCGCGTTTGGAAGTGTCAGCCACAACCTTTGCAGAATACCTGCTAACGGTTCCACTTGTTCCACGTTGACCTCTGCATGCATGCTGGTATGTGCAGTATATGTCTGTGTATGTGCAGCAGCAGAGACACAGAAGATAAGAGCACTGCGGTAGTCTGCTGTGGTCAGAGAAGGAGGAGAACAAGGTGGAGGAATTTTTGCTTCTGCTGACTGGCTGACCTGCATGTAATTAGTCAAGTCATATTTTTAACTGATATTGCGTAAAAGCCAGCTTAAGGAGCCATAGCTGCCCTATTTATACCCTAGGGGCTAATGGCCTGTACCACTACACAGGGGGATTTCCTCCCAGAACTATACTAAGCCTGCCTTAGGCCTTTACAAGTTAGGATTCACAGGGATTAACCCAGCAATACATTACAGGCCTCACCCTCTTGTCTGCATCTCTCTCACTGTTCTTCTTTCAGCTCCTTTTGTTCAACTCTGTCTGCCATTTCTTTCCATGTTTAGCAAGCAGCACCTTTTAAAAAAAAGCTTTTTCATATCCTGCGGTATATTCTGTTCAATCTGCTGCACGCTCTTTCAGTCTTATCCCTTAATCAAGAATAGCCCACATGTCAATTTGTGCCTCACAAGGGGTTCAAGTCTGTCATGAGCGAGCGCACTTGCACAAAGAATCAATCTTGGAATTAGTCTTTGCGTGCATGTTTCTGTTCTAATGTGTGTGTGAGAGCAGTAATATGTGAGTGTGTGGGTGTTAATAGTAATTCCTGAGCCATAAGCCCATCCTCATTGTGGTTGAGCCTGTTGCGGGCAGGGCTGCTGGCTCATCCTGTCGAAGAATGGGTCAGAGCGGTGACCAGGCTGACCTGGCCTTTTGCCCATTAAGCTATCGCCCGTATCACCCTGTCCTTTATCAGCTTAGCCGGCTCCTTAGAGAGTAATCCACCACAGGGCTAGTAGTACTCCTTCCTCCTCCTCCTCCTCCTCCTCTCCCTCCTCCCTCTAACACTCCAACTCCGACTCAGTCTCTCTGTCTATCTTGTCTTTGCACAGTCCATCTATGTATCTATCTATATTTATCTATCTGTCTAGCTTTCTATCTATCTGCTGTGTCCTCTAACACCCCCCCCCCCCCCCCGCCGCCCCCCTCTCTCCTCCTCCATTCTCCTCTACCCCCACCCCCCTACCCCCTTCTATTCAGATCTGTTACATTCAGCAACAAATTTCTGCTGCATCAGACATCCATCATAGATCCCACACTCAGCCTGAAACATGATCAGACACCCCATACAAGGCTACGCATGAGGAAAGGACTAACAAAAACACAATGCTAAAGGGCATTTTGGACTAAAAAGACAGGCCCAAAAGTGGAGACTTAAACATTTTGAGTGTAATCTGCTGAGGAGTGGGGGTGACTCCACGCTCTAATGTCTCACCTGAAGAAGCCTCTGACCCCTTTTTTGCTCTTTTACATCTCCCTTACTTTAATTTATAGAGTTTAGTCCAGCTCCTGTGAAGTTTGTTGTTAAGGCCCTGACCAAGCACATGCTTATGTGTGTGTGTGGGAGAGAGTGTGTTTTCATGATGTATTTAAAAGTACAAGGACAAAGGACAGAATTAGAGATGGAGAGAGAGTGCATCAAATGTCGACATGGGGCCTTAAATGATTGACAGCGCTGTAGGATTTCAGATTGTGTTTGCTCATGTGGATATTTGTGTGTGGGTGCGTGTGTGTGCGTGTGTGTTCAATATGCTAAATATCAAAGTGTACACGCAGAAGAGCACGACAGTCATTTCTATATTTCCATATTGTAGAAAACACCCTTTGATGAACCCAGTCCTTGCTTCATTCTCTCTCTCTCTCTCTCTCTCTCTCTCTCTCTCTCTCTCAATATGACTGAACTGTTACGTCTAAATTGATTATGATTTATGTAGCTTCATATTGAAGATACATTGTTCAGTTATTTCATAATAAATGTCTGTAACAGGACAGACTTGATTATTGCATTATGAAAAAATCTATTATTTTAATTCCTTCACTACAAATTCTGTCTTTTCTTCAATCAATAAAACCTTTAAAATTATGTACATCCATCCTTGTTATTAAATTATGGACAAAGTACATTTTATTCTCTTACTTGCCAGATTAAGTTTTAATCAAGCTATTTGTTATTTATGAGGGAACCTTTCTTATACCTTGTGTCGGGCATATCAATAAAAAATGATATAGATGCATCTGATGCATTAGAAGTGATTGAAGGTTGTTATGGGTTTTCATGGAAAAAAAAATATTAGGAGACCTTTTTTTGTATGCATGAAACAATACTGTCAAAATAATTGTTGAGTCTGTAAAACTTTGAAAAATAAGAATTAGAGTGAAATAAACAATGTTATGTTCCTAAACAAGCTGTATGAGTAATTAAGACACCTAGAGTTACAGGCCCATTGATCAGCTTTGATGAATAGATATTAACATGTAAAGGATTGAATTTCCTGTGCTCATGTCATCTGTGAAAACATATTCTAATTTTTATATCCTTACAACAATGAATTGTGACACACACACAAAAAGAAAATCCCAGAGGTTTTTTAAATATTAATCCAAACTGCTTCATGATTTAAGAATATGTAAATTTACACTCTGGTAATTGTGATGCTCATAATGAACCCACACAATTACAGCAGAGCAGACAGCGCTCATGCCCACACAGCCTCAGCACACATCGTCTGCACACAGCATTCACTGTGAGGAATCAAAGTAATCTCCACCTAAATGTCACAGGAGACTTTCTTGGCAATTGTTGCCTTGCTGTGAGGCTGTTTCGATGTGGCCTTCAGTCTGATGTGTCTGCACACACCTCCAAGTCTGATTAACTTTCCATTCCATTGAGGTTGAGAAGTTGGACAAGGTTAACCTCTAATTTACTGTTGATGGATACAAGTCTGGGTTTTTGCTCTGAGTTTGAAACCTTGGGTAAATTGCTCTTATAGTAATGAAAGAAAATAAAGATTGCTTTTTACAATTAACCACCAGTAAGGGTTTGATTGTGTCATTTAATCCTTTAAAATAAATTTTCCCTCTCTGCTCCAATTTGTTCCTATTCCTCTATTACATTTCTGCACTGGTATTTGCTGCTCGAACTTTGGCTTTTTTTTATTTTTTGGCTGGGGGCAGATGGTTGATTTGCAGAGAGTTGCATTTTCAACCTTGGGGCCTGTTTATTATTTTTGAAAAGCTTTTTATTTTTCCCCTACTGACAGTTTTTTGATTTCTTGCTGTGAAAAAGAGACACTGCTCTCACATAAATGCAGTCCTAATAAGCCATACCAGCATACTCCTGTTTGCACTTGACTGAATCACTGAAGCAAATCATTCACAGCTCTCCTGTTAGCGTATGAACCGGTGCGTCTGGGTTTTTTATGTGTAAATCTCTGTGTTTGTGTGTGCGCAAGCATATGTAGTCGAATCAGATTCATTCGTATGAGCGAGTCAACAAAAGCTTTGATGAGAACAAACGACACAAATTCCGATGAAGCTACAGAGAAACAAAAAGAGCAAGTATAGTGTTGGTCTTTAGAATGTGTGTGTTTTTCTGAGTGTGTGTGTGTGTGTGTGTGCTTGATGAGGTTTAGTTTTGAGTCAGAGGCAGCACCAAAAGCCTAAGTCTGAGAGTGTGTAGGATGAGCCTCCTACCACGTCCCTCCCTGTCTTTCATCAAATGTCTCTCTGCCTCCTCTTAATTTCTCCTTCTCTTGTATGTCCGCTCTCAAATGTACAACTATGAATTTATTCCTGATTGATAAATTAATTGATTAATGACATTTTATGTGAAAAGCTTAATTTAACAGGTAAAAGTCTATGAAACAAAGCAAACCATCAGACAGTACAAAGGCCGCATATACTGTCCAGTATATAACCTCTATGTGCTGCACCCATGACTGTTAGTGTGTGTATGTTTGTGTGCATGCATATATGTGTGTATGCATGTTTGTATCACTCACAGTGATTAAAGCAAGTGGGCGGCAACAGCAACTGGTCTGCCTGTGTGGCTCTGCATAGCAGACATGTTTCTCACTGCTAGATATTACTCATTTCCTCAGCCCTTTGCACACACAAGCACACACAAGCACACACACACACACACACACATACACACACACTCTTGAGACACACTCACATACACAACAGTCACAGAGACGGATAGCAGGCTCTCAGTTCTTTCCTTCAGTTTGGTGGGCTCGCTGGTGTTATTTCATGCGTACACAGATCAGAAGCAGTGTGTAGCTGGAGGCTGCTGCTCTCTGCGGGTGTTGTAGCTGGCGGTGGTGGTGCTGTGGAGAAGCAGTGTAGCACAGTTAGGAGCTGAGGAGTGGGTTGACCCTCTGGGAGGACTGGAATATGAATGACTGCCAACACTGGGACGCCTGCTCAGCCTGCACTAAGGTCAGTCTCACTTCACATCACAACTACAAACTATTTCAACCTGTCTGCTTGTTTAAACACACGTTATCCAATAAAAGAGCCGGTGAGGACTGATTTCAGTTGCAATTACCAACTTTAAGCTCTCATTTGGGGCTGTTTTAATCGAAAACATGCAAATTTGAGACTTTATTCTTTACTTCTGTTTTTCAGTTTTGACGCCAGGAGTGCTGAGTTTAGTTTGATAGTTCTCCTGAGAAATGCATGTCAAGAAAAGGCGGGACGAGATAGAGGGCGGCGGGCATTTTTCAAACATTTGTATATACAAAACACCTTTTAAAAAAATGAAATTAGTATTAGAACATTTTTTTGAGCTTTTGAGATGATTTGCATTAATGCTTTAAGATGTGTGATTTTATTTATAAATGCAAAGAGCACAGAAGAATCCCCAGCTAAACTCCAGTCCTGTGTGCATGTCTGTCTGCACAGTGTAGGAGTGTTCTGTTAGAAGACGTTTCTCTGCTAACTCCTCCACATGCACTATTGTGTTCTTTGTTTTCTTGTACTTTTTTGGCAAGTTTATATTAGGTCTGTTTTGACAACCTTTTTCATGAAAGCTTTCAGATTATAGACAAGGGTGTCAGAGAGAGTCATCTGAGGACAAAACAATTCAAACCAAACAAGAGATCTAGATCGTTGACAAGTTCTTTAGCAGACAAATAGTTCATAGGCAAAACTAAATCAGACTTTTTGTAAACTGCGTGTTGCATTTTTTATTTTTTTTCGTAACATGATTTCCGTATTCTGGGATTTTTTGTATTGATTTTTTTCAGATACGTATTAACAGATTTATTTTATCAACAGGAATCATCATTATTATGTTTTTTATATCATTTTAAATAAAATCAAATATTCTACTTCATAAAAAAAATGAAAAACTTAAAATAAACGTTTTAGGAAAAATGTATAAAATGAATTGTTGTGGTTTCTGCAGTCGAAAGGCTTTTAAATCATATTAAAAATACAAACTTTTAGGAATCAGAGAGGTAAATGACTTTTGTTGGCCCAGTGCGGCTGTTTTATCTTTGAGTGAAAAAAAAAGAACGCAGCAATTTGGCCTATAAGGTAACAAGGATTTATATGAGCGCTCAACCATTTGAGGCCTGTAAGTTATTGTAATAAATATTTCCCGTGTTATTCCCATGACATCCGTCCTGTCAGTGTCTAGGAGAATGAATCTCCCTCCTCTCAGCGCCCACTCTTCAGTTTTCCACTCAGATGTACAAACAGCTTGCTACACTCTAACACTTATTCTGTTTTTGGACCAAGTCACTTGATGAGCAACAGTTTACCCGCCTCTCCATGGAGTATCCCCATCTAACCTCTATAGCTGACTGTAAGTGTGTGTGTGTGTGGATACAGTTGCCATGGTGACAGTGGGGCGGATGGTGAGACGGCAGGGAGTTGGAAGGCTGTTGAGACAGACGTGCGGGTGAGTGCGGGGCTGATTGGCAGCATGGTTCTGTAGTGTTGTGGCGGCGGCGGGAGCAGTGATGGTGGTGTTGGCGAGAGGTGGTGGTGGAGGGAACAGCTGGGCTGTCGGCGCGGCATCCATCACTTCAAAAGAGCTCCTTTTAAAAAATGTTTGGAGAAGAATTAGTGGAGCTCCCCCGCACTTCTCACTGAATGAAACGAGGCAGCAAAATCTCTGACACATTCGAGGATTCGAATACAAACACGCAGGCACACAAATGCCCAAACAAATAAACACATTCACATATTTCCTCCAGAAGAAAAAAATAAAAGTCACACAAACATGGCAAACATGCATGAACACTCCAAACACATTCTCCCACAACCCTGCTGCGACACAATTAATATGCAAAGACACAGATCCTGTATCCACAACAACTGGTGGCAATATCAACAGTGCTTCTGTCAGCTTTTGGGTGGGTGGTGACCAGCTTTGCCTTTCATTGGGGGAGTAAGTACTGCCGCCTGAGGGAGTATTTGTGTGTCTGCTGCTGTCCGTGTGTTTCTGAAAGAAAATGGGGTAGGGGGGTGCTAGTAGTAAGCTTCTATAGAACACAGAGAACACCCGGAGGTGTCACGGGGGTGGCTCATGAAAGAGGTACAAAAAACATATCTACATATTCCAATCATCCCCAGAGAGTCAGAGATGAAAACTCTCCCGCTGCGAGTGCTGTGTGTGTGTGTGTGTGTGTGTGTGTGTGTGTGTGTGTTTTAAGGCAAACAAAATTCACTGCCTCTGAACTCCATCGGCTGCAAATGATATTTTTAGCCCACATGTGGGAGTAATGTGTTTGAATGAAACGAGTAAGTTGGGTAGTTTCAGTCCCACCGCAGTGCACAGAGGTAATGACTAATTAGCGACAGCAATCAGAAAGCTAAGAGTTTCTAACCTTTAAAGTAGTTTATATGAGGCAGTCACTCTCCATCTGTCTGATGCAGCTGAATGTTTGTTTGCATGTCAGACCAGGCTGACAGCTTAGTCTTACCAACAACTGATGCCAGGACCTGACAGATTGTATTTTCCTATGTCCACACACAATCCCTTTTGCTTCTCTCTCTGCTGTATCTCCTCCTTTTTACCTTCCTCACCTCTGTTTCTGTCCTTGTCCGTCCTCTCTGTAGGTGAGTGGTGCTTCAGTACAAAATAATCAACAGTGATCTGACAGTGATGCTGTGTAGCAGCCTTCCCCTCTGTCTGCGCCCCTCGTTCTCCCGTGAGGCCCATGTGACCTAGCCAACACCCACGCACAGGGGGCCCCCGACTGCTGCTGGAGCCTACCCATGAATCCCAGCCCCGACCGCGGCCAAGAGTGCCTCCCCCCGAAGAAAAGGGAGTCTCGTCAAGGATCGACAGAGCACCACATCCCCCTGGATGAGTTTAAACCCCCTGTGCCGCTCCGGAGTCGGTCCACCGGAGGGGGAGGAGAGGGAGGCAGGGAGGCCATTGAAAAGGACCGAGCTCTGGTTAACCAAAACCCCCATCTCCTACATACTCCTCCACCTCTTCCTGCTCCAGCACCGGGCCTCCCCCTGCCCCTACCTTGGCACTTAAGCTACTCCCCCTCTGTTTCTCTCCCCCTTTTTCCAGGGCCAGTTGGCGAGAGGAGGAGCTCAGGGTCTCCCGCCTGGAGAGAAGATGCTCTCTCCTTACCCCTGCCCCACCACTCCAGCTGGCTCAGAGGGGAAGGCCCCCTCTCCCTGCCACCTTCCCCATCTTCCTCCTCTGCCTCCTCTTTAAGACTCCCTTTCCGGCGGATTCCCGAGAGATGTGGTCCTACATCAACAGCGGCCGGCGTGAAAACAGCTCCTCTCTCTTCTCCCCATCGTACTTGTTTGGCCATCAATCGCTATACGCTCAAGATCGGAACTTGGTTGATGCTAGACATCGGTACCTGGGCAAGAGGCCCAACGGCCTGGACGGGCCGGGCAGCAGGACTGCTTCAACTTCCAGGCATCTGCTCACAGGAGAATATGGAAATGATAGCAGTAGACTCAGGCTGGACATCAGTCCACACAGCTCTCACACCAATGGAGGACGGAGACAGCAGGAAGATTTAAACTCCCGAGTCCATTCTGGAGGGCTTTTTTTGTCCGATTCTCAAGCTCAAGAGGGCCCTGAGCTACATTCCTCACTGCAGGTCAGACATGGGATAGGTAAGACCAGCTCAAATCAACTCCCCACTAGTCCTCTTCCCCTGGGGCCAGTCCCCAGGCCCAGTAGAGGGGGGCTTTTAGCTTCCTTAGGGGCTACACCAGCTGAAGCCCAAATCTACTACTCTTTGGGATCGGTTTGCCACCCTAGCCCCCAAGCCCAGACTTTTCCACTGTACAGCCCCTCAGGATCACCTCTGTATAACCTGCACAGGGAGCCAGGCCACAGGCAGCACAACCTCAGAAACTCCCCACACTCCCCGCTTGGTCTGCCCAACAGCCATGACAGGTCGCAAAGAGACCGGGACAGAGACAGAGAAAAGGTCACACAAAGGGACAGGGAACGAGGGAAAGACAAAGAGAAGCACCTTCAACATGACCAAGAAAGAGACGCCGTGCGAGAGAGACGGCGGGACAGAGCAACAGATCGAGGGAGAGAGTCTTCTCCTTCCCACATTCACACCTCATCCCCGGACCTTCACCCATCTCCCCCCACGCTCCTACCTCACTTCACCAAGGGGTCTCTGATAGAGTTGGCCAGCGGACGGTTGAAGCGGGTGGAGGAGCTGCGGACAGAGGACTTCCTGAGGAGCGCCGACACCTCGCCAGAGTTCCACCTTAGCACCTGCACTGTGCTGCTGATTTCCCCCAGCAGTTCTCAGGGCTTCAGCCACCTACATGTCCACCTCACAGACCTCGACACTCAGGTGAGCTCTCTCTTTCCATACATGCTGCAGTTAGAGATTTGTACATTGTATTATAATCATCACAATATGGTACATGATAAAGAAAGGATTTAAAGGCACAGTTCAGATTATTTAAAGTGGTGTTGTGTGAGGTACATTGCTGTAATGTTGCTGTAATGTTGTAGCAACATAGCACAATCATTAAAACATCAGTTTTATCGTATCCTTTGGGATTTTGTATAATCTTATCATATCTTACTGTCATCAGTTGGCTTTTTAAACAGCACTTTGGTGAGCTAATCTTGAAATCACTTTTTGTGGGATTTTGTTAAAACAAGGTGCACTGGTCACCATATGCTCCCCAGTCAACTGACACAATACAATTGACTGCATGTGTAGGATAGCAGAGCTTGTACTGTCAAAAAGTCAAAGTAGTGAAATTGTCCAAAATATATCACTTAGAGGGATCCGCTGTCTGCCATTTACTGTAAACATGATCCACAGACATTTGCAAAGTACCTTATCAAACCCCGGTCCATTAAATAAATACCTGCATACTAAGATGATACGTATTGCGTATCAGCAGCAGTTCACTTTGATCTTCTCAGATTCAGACAGACTGTGGTAATAATAAATGACTGACAGAGGTTGAGTGTGTATTAATGTTCTGGTTTTGTGTAGGAGTTACTGAAGGTCTTGGTGGAGTATCCGTTCTTTGTGCAGGACCGAGGCTGGTCTTCTTGCTGTCCCCAGAGAACCTCACAGCTGTACGGCCTGCACTGCCGCCAGCTCATGGAGGGGGATGTCTGCCTGGCCCTCACCCCAACAGCCAACCAAACCCACCGAACACACACGCGTACCAGCTCCAGGTCCCATCGAACGCAAGTCCCCTCCAGGGTCGCTGGAGAGTCAAGCAGCTCATACAGGGACGAGATGCCACCTCCGCCTCCCCCTCCGCCTCTTCCTCACCACCCACCTCCAACGGTGCCTGCCCCTCCTGTCGCTCAGGATGCAGAGCCCCCCCTTCAGGAGCAGCCACGTCATCGCAAACGGCGCTGGTCTGCCCCGGACTCCCTCCCCCCAACTGGAACTGATGAAAGTCTCCTGGATTTACCTCATGGCTCAAAGCTGATGAAGTGGCAGTAAAAAAAACATGGAAATGCATATGTATACATGCACACTTACACACACATGCACATAAATACATATAGGCACATACACACCCTCCTTGTCTCTGTTGCACCAACCAAGACAAACAATGGCGAGACCTCAAGGCAGGGTTGCAGGGAAGGAATAAAAAAAAAACAATAGAAAACACAATTTACGGGTGTCCACACTGCTGCCCAAAAGTTGAACCTCGTCCGCCATATTCTACCCCTCTTTCCCTTAACCTCCTTTCCTATCCTCTCCTTTCCTTTCCTTTCCTTTCCTTCCTTTCCTAAACTATACTTAGCACAGCCCTGAAAGGAGCAGCAGCTGAAGGATCTCTGGAAAGCTCCTTACAGACACACCGAAGACATTTAGTGAGACAATCAAGCACTGTCTGTGTTCACTCTGTTTTTGTAATGGTTGTCCAGCACACCTACTTACTGACAGTGTTATCTGCAGGGTATCTTTTTTCAATTAGTGTAATGGAAGTAAGCCCTACTGATGAAGTGCAGAAATATATATATATATATATATATATATATATATATATATATATATGAACAAAAGTTGACTATATATATTACATTACAAATGTTATATACAGTAAATATGCTAAAAAGATTTAATGCAATCTCTCTGTCAGTTTTGCAAATGCATTCTTGTTATTTCCTAATTTTCTTGCTTCTCAGCTGATGGCTACATGTCAGCCTAAGCAGGCAAGGTGAATGTATGAGTAACTCTTCGCCTTTTTTTATTCACATCACTGGGAGTCATTACAAACAATTGTTCATCAAGGCATTACCCTCCGATATGTTCTTAACATTAGCTCTGAGAAAGGGAGAACACTAATGAAAACTGCGTAACAGACAATCCTGCCCACACAGACAGGTCTGTGCCACAATGCCTCGACACTCATGGTGTTTTTCCATTAAAACTGAATGACGGAGAGAGTAGAAAGTACAGTGTGGCTGAAGAGTAATGGTGCTAATAACACGTTGGAACATGATGCTTTGTGAATACTCTTGACCCCTGTGTACTGTACACTTCTGTTCCCATCTCGTTTTTTTTTTTTACGTACTGTATTTGTTTGAAGGCAGGGAAAACGATGAAAGTATTTTAAACTCAGATACGGGTATCTCCTCTGATTCAGCACACTCTCTCACTTTAGTTTTCGTGTTTCTTTTTTTTGAAAGAAAACCTTACCTGTTGATTTTCTTTTTAAATGTTATAGCTACAAAATGTATATTTTTAAAAATTGTGAATCTGTTAAATGATGTTCGCTAGAAATAAAGGAAAAAAAAGCTTTATAGATTTCATTTCAGCTGTCAATTTATTCGCTTCTTGCGTTTTCAGGTTACTTCAAACTTCTATGATAATTCGACATGCGTGCTGACTGTAGATTAACACATAATGGAGGAAATTATTTCACATTTTAAGCATGTTATCAACCTGTTTTAATGGTTCAAACAAATGCTTGCTGTTCCAGCACTTTGTCGGTCTAGCTACAGGAGGACAGTTAAAAATCATCAAATAATAGATTAACTTAAAGGATAAAACTCTTGCACAAGCACTGCAAAACAGTCTACAATGGAGCATTTACATTCTTTCTGCATCATTTATTTACATTTTTCCACTGACAGTTCTCTGTTTCTTTGGCTCTGCTTGTAGAATGTCTTGTCAAACGGATGACAGATGAAATACGGAATCCACAATCCCTTTTTAAGTTGTTCGTGGTTGCCCTGGTGCACGGAAGCCCTCTATGCCTTTTTACATCTTTGTTCCGTCTGTGTTAGTGCTGCCCCTTCTCCTCAATTCCTCAAGTGGAACTTCTGCAGCAAGTCCAGAGCAAACAAGGGCACCACCTAATCACAGGACACAATGTAGTGCACAATCAGTATGCTTATGAGGACCTCTGCTGTTGGTTAGAATAACTGCAGATATGCGCTAATTCACAGGCAGCACAGGAAATATTAAGTACTGCTGGGATTGTTTAAGACCAAACAATTGGTATACCGGTACTTTTTAATCTGTCATAAAGGTAAAAAAAAAATCTAAGTCAACGTTTGCGAATTTTCAGTGTGACTGAAACCATTTAAAGCAAATCCCAATACTAGATACACAACACCACTCTGAGAGTATGTCTTCCTTTTACTTTAAATATTAATAGATTCATTTAAACACAAAATACAGTGAAAAAAACAAAGCAAGGTCAAGAGAGTGAGGAGGAGCATAATTTAAAAAAAAAAGTTAAACCAAATAACAAAATGCAACAAAATCCTACACACAGTACATTTGAAAGAGAATACCATATAAAAAATAATAATAGTACTAAAACAAAAATTATGATTCTTAGTCTGTTTTCCACCCACCTGTGCCATGATCAGTTTCCTCTTTTTAGGAACATTTGGGTCTGGATACTCCTCTCCAAAGCAGAGCTCGATCTCATATGAGGGTGCAGGACCCTTACCCTGTAAACAGCTCTGGAGCTCTGTTCACAAAAACGTCAGTGAAAATCAAGATTTAAGATTATGTAAATGTTTTGCTTCTTTGCAGAGACAAGAATTGTAAAATGGATCTTTTTTTTTTTTTCCAAGCATTTCCAAATGAATGTATCTTTTGAAATAAATCATATTCTGCTCCAGGTAGATTTATATGACTACCTGGAAGCTAACAAATGAAAACAGCTTCTACTAGCTGTAAATATCTGTGTGAGCATTTATTTCCTCACCATTGAGAAATGTGGCCATATCAAGCAGTTTGAAGGTCTTTTCTCGCTCCAGTTTGTTTGGCCTGTCAGTGTGCTGGGCCGTGGGACCACTCCAGTACACCCTGCCCTGGCAGAACCGCTTAATGAAGACCCCATCTGGGGCCACCCATAAAAGCACACCCCTCTCCAGGTGACAAAGGAGGCGGTTCATTGCTTCCACCATGGCCAGGGGCAGAGCTACAGAAGTTGGGGAGGGGAAGGAAAGCTGTTGGGCAGTGCAGGGCCCGTAGATCCGCTCATTACCCACAGGGACATGGCCCTGCAGGATGAAGCACCCATCTAGGCTCGTGGTGGTCACTTTCATCACCCTCAGGCCTTGGTACAACAGCATCACTTGCAAACGAAAGTCTGAGCACAGCAAATGCAACATGTGTCATACATACAGTGAAAGGTAAATGACATGACGTTTCTGTGCGTTATCCAATAATCTTTCTTACCTGTTATAGTCAAAGAAGGGTTAATGAAGGCTATTGGAGCAGAGTCTTGATTTTGAGGTTTATGTCCTGTAAGATCACAATACAAGTGCTCCTTCAATAGATCACCTAAAGAAAAAATAAACATGTAATTCAATTAGAAAATGATCAATACTAATATGTACATTAATATCCCACAAGGGGATGCAACGTTACATTTTGGTCTTTTTTTTAAATGACTTTACTTGAAACATTTTATCACCATGAGTTACCTTGATGAAATCAATAAATATTTGTAAATTGGAATTATATACACACAGGAGTTTCTGCTGTGGTGAGGTGTAGTGTGTTGATGTGTCCTTGTCAGATTCATAAAGAGATTATCTTGCACTGGTCCTACTTGTAGCTGACACGTCCATTCAGCAATGTATATGGTGACTTGACATAACGGAATTCCTTAGATAAGTTTTTTTTTTCATAACCAATCATTTTGTATTTTTTATAATTTGCTTTGTCAGGTAGACTACATCACAATGCTGATGATCAAAAGCAAAATGAGTGAGGATGAGGTCTTACTCGAAAGGGAAAGAAGGCTTTCTGACATCTTTGCGAGTGTTCTCTCAAATAACAATATACACTAAACAGTTCCAGTTTATGTTTATGTTTTTAGCTCTTACCAGTCAGTGGTTTTGCTTCTTCTTTACTTTCTTGAAATGAATCCTTCTGATAATGAAGCTACAAAAGCACAAACCAATATTAGGTCAACATAGTATGATGTAAAGAGCTAAAGATACATACAGTTGAAAGAGTGTAAAGCAAAAAACAATTTAAAGTGATACAGATTCTGCAAAATGAATAAGAAGAGTATTTATATTTAAATCTCCTATAAATATAATTTGAACTTTTCAGACTCAGCAGTAGCATTAAAAATAGGAGGGTATTACCTGTTTTTCCTGAAAACCAGCGATTGTTGGTGACTTCTTCACTGGGATGATGATTTGATCCTTTGTCTGCTGAGATTCTGTGGAGAAGCACGTTGACACAAACATAATAGCAATTAAATTAAAAGTTTAAAAGGAACTCAAACAAGGCTATTACACAATGTTTTTTATTCAATATTTTGTTTCCTCTTCATGATCTTTTATCACTCATTTTAGTACAAATTGTATGAGGTGTACACAGCTGATAAAGGTACTAAACAGCTAAGATACTGTCAGATAAGATGACAAGAAAAGTCACAGTCACTCTTTGTGTTCACCTGCTGGCTTGGCTTGCTCACTGTCATGCACAATAAGGTAAACTTTATAGGGTTCAGTGATATCCAACTGGTTGCGTTCAGGGACCTCCTGGAAGTCAGCGCTCTTGTTTAATGCACATCGAAGACGAGTCTTCCACATGGTGGGGTCGGCTTTATCCTTCCCCTCTTTGTACTTTCCTTTGTACACAGCCCAAGCCTGAATGTGAAGAAATGGTAGATGGGCAACACACTGTTATTAAAACAGACATGATTTTAAAAATATTTGATAAGTGGAAGGCTACTGGTTAAATATACATTTCAACAAGTGCAATATCTTCTGTTTAAAAATGCATTGATTGGTTGTGTCATTTTCTTAACTAGAAATATATTCCTGAAATAAACTGTATGGTGCTCTATTGTCACCCACAGCATTTTGAGAGCAGCAAAGTTAATGTACATAATAAAAAAAGTAACATAACACATACTAAAAATCTATATCTAACCTTGCCTCTCTTTTAGATAATTGAAAAAGCAGTTGCACACCAGTAGTGATACATTCATCATAGCAGTATATTTGAGTATTTTTAGTCAGGATTAAGAGTCCACCATAGCACAGAGGCAGCAGAAGCTAAATATGAAAATTATCTTCTATACAGAATAGAGGACTTCTATCTGTACTTTTCCTGCTAGCTAGCTAGTGAGTGCTGCATTTAACACAATTGACCATCACAGCCTGTTACAGAGACTGGAACACTTAATTGGAATTAAGGGATCCGCATCAAGCTGGTTTCACTCCTATTGATCAGATCCATCTGTTTGTGTATGAAAACAATGTTGATGTTGCCAAAGTCAGTTATGGAGTTCCACAAGGTTAGGTGCAAGGACCGATTCTATTCACCTTATATATTCATTACACTCTTGGTTATGCAGATGATACCCAAATATATTTATCACTGAAGCAAGATTAAACTAATTTGTTAACGAAGATTTAAGCTAGCTAGCAGGAAAAGTACCCCCCCTGCTTTTAAAAGTCAAGGCTTATCTTATCCTACTAAAGGGTCAATAATGCACATAGCCCAAAAGTTTTTGTGCTCTTTTGTCTTGCTTGATGATATTGATTCTACTTGCAGATCAAATTATGTTGTGGTCCTGCCATTGATTCACACTTCTGCCATTTTTTTTGTTACAGAGCTTCAATTATCAGGCCCCTCTTCTGTGGAAGATGACTCATGGAGCATGATCCATCTCCACTTCTAAAGGTATAAGGGCTTAAAACACTCTTATTTGTTTAGACTAACAGCATGCTCGAGCTTGCCCTGGACGAGACCATTAATGCACATAGTCCCAGAGTTTGTGTGCTCTCTTGTCTTGCCTGTTAAAGCTGGTTCTCCTCGCAGATCAAAAGCTGATATGGACCTGCCATTGATAAGGTAAAGGTTCCTACCATTAAAAGGATATTTTTAGATCAATGTGAGTTGCCAAGTATTTATTAAGTTGGCACTCTAAGTTTCAGTCTAGACCCAGTCCTAACGAAAAAGAGTTATGAGAATTGTTGTGTGTGATCCGGCTCTTTAAATTAAAATGATTGATTAATTGATTCAAAACAGTTTTGGATCTGGTGCATGTAATGTGTAGCCATGGCCCATTAAATATTTCAAAGTAGAGGGTTTAAGTTACTTCTCTCAATACAGGCATTGTTTCATATTACTTCTTTTCAATTATTTTGTGTTATAAAGTACACAATTGACTTCAACATCGAAGCCTTATTTAAAACAACCATTAGCTCAATGTAAAAATCAACTTAAATTTCTTGTTGCAATGGCTTGAAAATGTGATGTCAATTAATAATGGACTTAGACATTTTAAAGAAAATTAAACACCTTTCAGTGAATGAAAGCAGCAGACAAAGAATCAGCGGAGAATCTGAAAAGTCTTTTGACCCTATTTAACCTCATCCATTCACTCAAGGCTGTCTGCCTCCTGAGGACTGTGAAGAGGCACAGAAAGACACTCAACCCTTTCCAAACGCTCATCAGAGAAACAAGTGACTAACCTGATTTTCACAGTGAACTATTGGAAGGAATTTTCAGTGCAAGACACGTTTCATTCTGTGAACAAAATCCAACGCTTAGGCAAATAAACCAACTGAGCGGTAACTTATCAAAAGGGGGTTTATGACCTATACTTATCTTCAAGAAGTGTTTTTATTTTTTATTTAAGACGACACATTCACACATCTGTGCGTTTTTCTAGAACAAAACGAAAGACATCTTTGAACGTGAAGTATAAAAAAAAAAAATCAAATAATATGAACATAAAGAAGAGTAATAATAATACAAATAATAATTTTAAATACAGGCTACTCTCCTCTGGTTGAATAAATCTTTAAATACAAGATTAAAAGGACATTTAAGTAACAACACCATCTCGACTAGACTATGTATTATTTATAACTCCTGTCTTTCGTTGTTGTGTTTTTAGCACGACACATTATGTTTAAGTTTAACAGGTCAAAACTAATTTATTTCCTCTATGTAGGCCTTAATATATTTACAACAAAAAATATTGGTTTTAACCTGCTGACTTAACATCTTGATGATTATCTGCTTTGATTTCTTTCCCACAATGTATTAAACGCGTTGTGCACCTTCCAGTTAAATTCACATTATAAATAGAAAGGGAATTTAAAAAAGACTTCACCTTGAAGAGAGCTGCATCCGACGTCTGCCTGTAGTCCTTCTTGGCTGCGTGCTTCCACGGAATCCTGAACATAGTTTTGTTCTCATCTTCCCAGCACAGTCCTTCATATTTCCCACTCTCTATCTGAGTAATCAGCCACTCTTTCATGTGCATCTTTGCTCCTGTTTCCATGTTCATCGCACCAGTTTGTCTTACTGAAGAGAAACGCACTTTCAAACGTCAAGAGAAACATGTGCACAGCAGCAGCGCTTTAATCACGTTCAACCCGCACTAAAAATATCAATAATTCAAAATCTGCTCCAGCTTCTAAAGCGATTTAGTCCAAATATATATTTGCCTAATTTATCATTATTACACTCCAAGAAGTTGTAGACAAACAGACCTCCTCGCAAACTTTAATGCAGTACAACTCACTTAAAATAAAGTGCGATCTAAGTAGCGAAAGCGAAAGCTGAACTTACTTCATACTTTCGGTTTCCCCCTCTTCCTGAGGTGCAGAGAAAGTTAAGTAGGCTAAATAATTTCCAACTAAGGTATGAAGTGAGGTGACAACACAGCACACATCACTCGATTACGAGTCAGTGTAACATTGTCTTAACTCAAAAGTAATATAGAAACAAGCTATGTTGCGAATGCGACAGTAAAAAATATTTAAAAAGGCAGAGCCACAATTTTTATTTTAACATTGATCACAAAACCCAACACACAAACTGTCCTTATAGACTACTACTGTAACACAAGACTGAAGCAATATAAGGAGAAAAAGGGTTATTCCTGGACAGCCCATTTTCATAGCCCAGAAAACTGTTATTCAAATGAAATGATTTAGATTCCACTTCAATTAGTCCCTATAGAAATCAGCACGTGGCCTACGGTACAGCAACACTACATATTAATCACATAGACGACAAGAAGTACAGCCACCCACACAGACAATCACACATACACACACATAGAGATGTGGGCCTATATAGGCCTACCAGAGGGAATCATAACGAAACGTATGTGAAAACGAAAGTGTGTAGGTGTAAGGATCTTTTTCTTCTCATGCACTCCTCCTTGTCCTCGCAGGGTTTATGATACTGACTGAAGATGTTTCTTTCTTCAGGTCACATAAAGTCACTGAGCGGGAGGACGATAAATACAAAGTTCAAATCAATAAAGCAGATGTAGGCCTATAAAAAAGTGCTTCGAGTATGATATAACGATATGTGTCGGACACATTGTAATGTGTGGGCTTGTCCAGCAGAGGGCAGTGTAAGCCCGTCTTAGTGTCTAATTGTGGCATTACATGCCTAAGTGAACATTTCAGACTTTAAAAATCAATAAAACATTTTGCATTACAGGATCCAAATAACCACCTCATTATAATAATCCACAAAACTAATTTAAAGTGCAATTTGTCTGAGCACATAGTCTGACATAAGTTTGGGTAGCCTACATCTAAAACTTGTGAGACTTCATTTAAAGACATTTAATCACTGCTACTGCAAACCAAGAAAAAAAACTGTTGCATAACAGTGTGAAGGTGGTTGACATGAACTCACTGCACAAAGGTACCAGATGCAAAAGTACCACCAGAAATGACAGCCTAGCAAAAATAAGTTCCTGATAATTCCAGAATAGCAGTCTCAACACAAATTTAACTTTGTGTTTATGAAAAAAAAGGCATAGAGTTGTTTATTCCACTCAGCAGATTGAATATTTTAATTGTAATATGGGATTGTCATTTCTATTTTTGCAGTATTTTCGGATTGTAATTTTTATTTTTGCAATATTTTCCTGCTCCACTAAATGAATAAATAAGTGAAAAAATACAAGTTATCTTACTTGTAAATAATCACGTTAATCATTGAACAACTCTTAAACAGTTCTTACGACAGAAAATGGACTATAACACGAAGCTGCTGGATTGTACTGAGCTAAAATAAATTCTCAAATGTCAACAAAACAAACTGACAATGGCTTCTTAGAGAAGCAAACACACCAGAAACAGTGTTTTTATCACAACCCCCTTCGGTTTGTGTGTGCTCTGCTGTAATAAAAAAAACATCAATGTCAAGCCTATGCAAGTCCTTTCGGTTATATAGCAAACAACCACACGTGATTTTAAATGTGCTTCACTTTAGATTACATGTGAAAACATCCGCCCGCCCTCAGCGAGAAAAAAAACCCTCCACCTCACAGGCGTAGACCACATACACACAAACTACCATGAGCCTGAGAAAGCCTGAATGCTTCATGACACAGAAACACTCCTTCAGATCTGGGGTCAGCAGGTAAAGGATGGAGCTTCAATCCAAGCAAACATTTGTGCTGGAGTGTGTTAGAAAGTGCAGCATGTGTCCTCCTCCAACCTCAAAGATGTCTTTCTGCTATTCATCCAGATTAAACACACACCTCGAGGTGCTTGTGTTGCTTTTCTCCCAGTTTATTGTTGTACCAGTTCGGCAGTCAAACATGGTTGAGACATTGGAGCACACTTTAGAACATCTGAGCCAGCTCCCAATAAATAGACCTTTTAAATATGACAGATTGTATTACAGCAGAGGAATATAAACCTGAAAATGTCAAGCACACAGAACAAGAATTTCCCTCTCTGACACTTCAGCTGCTTGTTGCTGTGAAAGCGTATGACAGGAATATGTAACAGTTTTGACTGATGAAATATGGAGACATATCCACTGGTCCAGGTTGTCATAAATTGCCTCCCACCATCAGTGTGTGCGGCGTACACTTGGGGCAGTGAGATTTAAAGAGTTTAAACTCGATGCTCGAGTCAAATCAGCTTTCTGTCAACTTTGTGTGTGTGTTTTTTTTCATGTTAAGAAAACAGGCAGCATAACATACAGGAGAAACACAAACCCACGTGACAATCCAGGTAATAAATACACTTCTTGCTTTGTTTGAAAAAATTATATACACAGTATTTTACATCAAAAAAAATTCAGAACATCCATCCAGGTCTCAGTCATATATATATATATGATCAAATCTACAAAAAAAACAACTACAATGACAATTATGAAATAAACAAAAGATTGTTGACTTTGAATATACAGTACAATCACTGCTTTTAATGACTTATACACAGTAGAAAGCACAAACGTACCTGCACTATATTATGGCCATTGTGGGTTCAAATAAACATTAAGGAGCTCGGTGGGGCTGAATATTAAAAATCATAGCAGAAAATTTGAGAAAACTACTATTTTGAAATATTCTCTGAGAGAAAGTGGTGATTTTACCAGAAAAAAAAATTAATGGCCAGATTGCAACCTAATCAAATTACACTTTGCATTTGGATCAAGACAGCAGTGAAGAAATACTCGTCCGTCAGGTAGCCTTTCCTGTTTGCTCGCGGCGTCTGTGGGGGCTAAACACTTTAAAAGAAACCACGCTCACTTCCCCATGACCAAAGCATTTAGGCTGACTAACCCTGGCAAGCACTATAATAAGGCAACCTGGGCCCAGAGTTCAATTATTATACTGTTTATAAGACAAGTGTTGGCTTGCTATTTTTATTTATTTATTTTTTAGCTTTTTGCTGCTCAGTAAAGGTTAACTTTTAGTTTCCAGTTTGAGTCAACCATAGAAGTTGTTATCTGTCAAACTCTTCTTTTGTCCATGTCTTTGTGGCTTTCCTCATTTATATGTGACTTTATTATCAGATAATGTATTTACTTTCCTCCTTAGGAATATGACCCCCCTCCTGATGGCTCAGTAATGAGTTTATTTGTTTCTGACAAAGGCCCTAATACGCCGCTGTACAAACTTAAGTGTGAGTGGGAGATTGTCTGTGCATGTGTGCGCATTGGTAGTGAGGTCCCCAACATTGTGCTTACTTCAGGACAACCTTGACAATGAATTGAGAGTCTACCCTCCGACTGTACATAAAATACATGTGCATGAACAATCCAGTTCAATGTGTCAAATGGTGCCTGAGAGCAAGTGAGAGCCCTCTCTCCGCTCTGTGTGTGTGTTGGCCTCTCCGTGTGTCTGTGTGTGAAGATGCTGACAGTCTAGTGGCAGCCACAGGCTCTGACCACCATGTTGCGGTATTTCTTGAGGATGACGTTGGAGCTGTCATCAAAGTAGAGCACGGAGATGGCGTGGAGCTGCGTTGGGGCGCAGCAGGGCTTAGGAACAGTGTCCGGATTAATAAAATGAACCTGCAAAGAGAAGGAGGGAATAAAAAGTACATTATGAAAATGCATAGATATAGATACAATGTTTTAAAAGGCTCAATCACACAGGGTCCTTCACAGCAGAAAACTCTTTGCCCTATGCCAGAGCTCTGAGACAGTTTACTCTAAGATACAATCTGCAACTAAATACAGTATTTCCAACAGCAGCCTCATTGTCCTGACAGTTGATGAGATGATTAGACTGTTAACATGACTGCTGGGGTTTTTGTTCCCTGCTTTCATGGTTACTCACAAGCGTCTGCACAATGGCATGGTTTGTGGCGTTCATGTAGGAGTTCAGTGGGAAGGCACACTCTCCCTCGCAATAGTACGCTGCGTATCCCTCTGGAGCAATGATCCAGTCCTGACAGCGGGGAGGGACACGGACACAGATTTAGGATGGAGATTTGGTCACATGGTAAAGAGTGATTCAAAAAGAGATACAGGAAAAAAGGATGATGGTTGGATTGCTTTGATGACAATTTAAAAAAAAAAAAGAGATGATTCATACATTCTGGATTAAAAAATAATAATAATGTATAATGATTTATTGGCACATTCATTGATTAATTAGCATTCATAACATTTTCATGACTAATTGATTCATCATATAATCTCAATAAATGTCAGAAATCAGTGAACATTCCCATTAATACTACTGAGGCCAAGTTCCAACATTTAAATAGCTTAATTAAAATAAATTAAATCAGCTATTGTAAAATGAAGAAAACAAGAAAAATATTCACATCTGAGATGTGGGAAAAGTTGTATTTTAATAAGCACAATACAACATTTTTACAGAAACACACACATAGCTGAAGTGTAAGAATTGTCTAAAAATGTCCTTTATGGATTCATATTGCTAAACAGTACAAGCACAGGAATAGACCAGCCTGTTAGTAGCACTGAAGGCAAAGGAACAAAACAGCTCTGAGCCTGTTTTCACAGATAAAAATGACAGAAAGTGAATGTGGTGTTTGAAACTGAACAGTAAGAGGACATAGTTCAGACAGATTTGTGTCAGTGCGGTGAGGTCTAGTGGACTTATTCCTGTTTGGAAATGACATCCCTCAGGCTCCAGTGTTATGTGTGCTGATTGTAGTGTGTCATGTATCAGGATTCTGGGATAAGACCATCAACAAGGTGTGTCTGAGTTAGGCTTCTGTTTGGCCAAGTAGCCTGTGAGAGGAAGGCTTTCCATACCTGCCACCCCAAGTCTCTGAAACTGACGTAGAGCTCATGCTTCTTACACGCCTGCTTCTGATCAGTGCTGCTGTTCTCTGGAAAGACGGAGAAGAATTACACTTTAAGACATGTGCCATTATCCCATTCTGCTACTCAAGAGTGACTGTTTTCTGAAGTCAGACCTCAATTAAGCAGAAATGATAAAGAACAGATGTAAACAGAGCGCCAGTTCCGTCATACGAAACAGTTGGACAATGGCTGAAGGAAAACACCTGATCTAAAGCAGCAGTTAGGTAATTGTTCCAAATGAATGGGCCACCCTGCCTAGAGGTCACTCTGCTAGGCCTTAAGTTTCCATTGGATGAAACAGATGTGCACACAGGGTAGGCTCGCCCTCTTTTTTCATAGTCTTATTTATTCTCATTCCTTTTCTCTTCCCTCACTTCACCCCCCCCCCCCCCACCCCACCCGTGTGTTGAAAAAGAATGGTCTGTTTTCTATCTAATCATATCTTTTTCTCTCTGTTCTTCTGGTGACCTCTGGGCCTCTGTGGTACATTACTTTCTTAGAGCGGTTCACATTGTAAATGATCATGAGCGACTGGTTCTCATCATCCAGTTAAAGACTGCTGCTATCCAGCGTTCCAAACAGGCCCATTTGGACCATGTGTTGTGGCCCCGGTTGCCCCACAGCACACTGCAGATGTGTTCTACAATAAAAGCCTGCGCTGCCTTACCTCCATGCAGGGAACTTGGCCCCGACTGCTCTGTAATGCTTGTGTAAATAAACATAGACAGCAGAGGGATACTTGAGGCTCAGGCATTACAGTCTAATGTTTCAGCACTTCGCATAAACACAGCCCTCCAACACCTCTAAAACAAAGGCTCTGAGTTTGCATCGAAATGTTTTTGTTGTTTTTAAGAATCACATTCATTCATATGGACCAGGTTCAAATGGCAGCTATCATCCTCTGAGTTCAAGCTCAGGGTCGGAGGCTGAAACTCTAATGTACTGCCAAAATGCTGCAGAGAAGGTGGGAAGGTGTATAAATGTAGGATTCCTGGTAATTTATTATTAGATGACAGCAAATTAAACTTAAAGGGGGAGTGAAATCTGAGCCTCATTTCAAGAAAAAAAAAACACATAAGGCAAGAATCAAGCAACTGTCAGACAACAGCTAATACATATTCAGATACCGCTTCCACATAGTGCCACATAATTGGATATTTGAGGCTGTAAAACCGTGGGGTTAGCTACAGTTTACAGCTAACATAGCGTGCTGCATGATTCAGTTGATGAGAGAAACCCTTCTGGGTACTTTGCTCTTTCTTATGTGGTGCCACCCCCATTTTGGGTGAAAGCAATTGGAAATGCTGAGGTCTTTGGCCCATTGAAAGCTAAAAGTAAGAAAACTCTGCTTTAAATATTTATGAGATGTGACTATTGAATGTCATTTATATGTTAGTGTATGTTTGAAGAATTTGTAAACAGGCAGCTCCTGCTGTGACATCCAGTGAACACTCTGACTTCATGACAGAAGAGACACAACATCTGGTCCGACAGTTTCAGCCATAAGCCAGAGAGCTCTTCTTTTTAAAGTCCTCAAGAATAATTTTTAACATGTGTTTTTAAATGACTTTACTGTACTTTAAATTAGGGCTGGGCAAAATATAGAGTTTTTAAGGTATGTTGATAACTTTTCAAAAGAGATATAGGGTAAGACAATATTATTTAAGACAATATAGTTCAGGTTGCGTTACAACGACAGTTTGTAATTCTTCTAAGTGTTTGCATGTTGGTGATGACATTCTGTAAATGTTTTCACAAAAAATACTTCGATGGCCTATGACATCATCCCTGTAACTGCCTTTGGACTTCTCACAGGGTCAACAAAACTCACAGAAAACAAAGGGTTAGTTAAAAAAAAGAGGCATAAATCACCACTGAGTGTATATGTGTACCTGCGACATTGGCCACTCTGAGTGCCTCCTGGCTCTTTGCACCCTTGGAGCGGTTGGGGTTTCGCTGTTTGCCCCCCCCTGGTGCTGAGCGTATGCTTCGCAGGTGCAGTTCAGTGGCTTTGAAAAAGGCCACCATGAACGGTTGTTTATTCTGAGGCCCGCTGCGACCTATCAGCCCTGCCACACGAGGATTGATACTCTCTCCTGCAGGGGGAAGCAGAGAAAACAGGTGTTGGCATCACAGAAATCAAGATTTCATTCACACGGGATGATGTTTTTGAAGGAGGAAATCTCAATCAAACACATATGTGCCTGTGTTTTCAGTTTATTTGCATGTGTGTGTCCTCTCTTTTCTCACTCAAACCACTTTTCTCTTTTCAAAAACACTGCATTTAGTTTCCAAATACGGCTTTCCTGCATGAATTCCTGTCTCTTTTCCTTATCCTTTCTAAAATGCAGTGAACAAACTTCGCTTTGAACATCAAAGCCTCCCTACTTATGTTTGTGTGTATGGATGTGTGGGAGTGATTGTGTTTTTGCATGAGTCTGCGTGTGCACTCCAGCAGTGTCTATCTAGTTCTCACTCCGAAGAATGTGTGTCTGATCACTGTCTGGTGGTAAATCTAGGCTTCTGGTTGCTGCTGGCGACAGGACATCCCAGGCGCCTGCCTGTACATGCTCACCCGTAACCCTTCATACCCGATCCAACACACAAACACACGCTCTATGATACTGCTTCTCCAGCACTCCCTTCACACAACATAAAAGCAATACAGAGTCGGTTTTCCTCACCAAACATGTAATGTCCTGCCGTTCCCTGAGAGAGAGTACTCTCAAACATATTCATGGTGTTCTCACTGTTTGTTGATAAGGTTTTTTTTTACTAACATCCTTGTGATGACAAGTAGTGTATGTTCTGCATGCCTTCTAATGATGATGAGGGTATGACAGATAAAGACATGGACGGATGACTGGTGATGAATGATGACGAACAGGGTTTGATTTATCTCTGATGTTTACACACAAAAAGAAACTGATTGTTGTCGTTAAAGAGAACAGCAATAATGTGAGCTTCTGCTTGTTATAATGTAATGCAGTCATTCATGTGTGTTAGATGTTATACCATTCAATTGAATCCTACATGACAGAGACACACATTGTAAACTTTGATCTGTTATGAGATCTTTTTTTTGTTTCTGCGTGACTTCAAGGATGGCGTTTGGGACTTAATCTCTCTGTTACAATGATGATGACTTTCAGCCACGATGGCACTGCAATGAGCCCAGACCGTGTCATTTTTACAAGTTCCAACTTTGTGTTTCTTCAGCTGGTCTTTTCTGATGTTTTTCTTAATTCAGTTGTTTATAATCATGCAAACACCTGATACAGGAAACAGCACTTCTTACAAACTGAGGAGTAGGCTGATCTGATTGGTTCTCACCATTTGTGCTCTCCAGGGCCAGCTGAAGACCCAGGTTCCTGCCAGGATTCAGGACCCAGTGGTTACTGGTGGCGGTCACGTCAAACACCAGCCAGCCCTCCTCTGCTGCCCAGATCACCCGAGAGTCCAGCAGAAACAGGTCAGACTCCCTGGAGAGGACGGAGGAGACAGTCAAAGATCAGGCGCACAGTTATAAATGAACACCAGTCAACAGGGATGATGTGTCCAATTCCAAAAGAGAGTTTGAAACCATGTCACAGAGTATAAGCCAAGAGAACAAAGTGAAAAGCAAAGTAATGAGAGTGAAGAAAGGGAGTCAGAGAAGTGTGACTGAGCGAAACAAAGAGAGAGATAGAGAAAAAAGGAGACAGTGAGGGAGTGAGGGAGGGAGGGAGGGAGGGAGGGAGCGAGGGCTCCAGATGGTGAGGCCCAGGGGAACACTTAATTTTCTTAATTGACAATAATGGCTTTATAAACGACCAGTCCTTTCACACACAAAACACAGTCCATCACTAGCTGGAATTTGGTGGGAGAGCGAGAAAGCCAAGAGAGAGAGAGAGAGAGAGAGAGAGAGAGAGAGAGAGAGAGAGAGGGAAACACAGCTGAAAAAAGGGAAAAAGACTGTGTGAAAAGAAGCGAGTCAAATAGTTCATTTTCAAGTCAGCACTGAACTCTGTTTTTCTTTTTTTTTTTTTTTTTTACCATCGGACACTAAAAACCCCTTTTTCTTTATGTTTCCCGACCTGTTTCCTGGCCAGGCAGATAGTGTGTCACACAGCTCTGGTTCATTCATGTACCCAGGCCCGTTTCGGGCAAAGGAATAAATGAATGTGTTGTTCCCTCTGGACAACAGAAACCTTTAGGAGGGGTCAAGGGGAGCAGGACATGGACCATTCCTGAGTTACACACACTGCGGGACTACTCAGACTAGCCACATAGAGAGGGTGGTGCTAAGACCTGTTCTGATTACAGAAGCTTCCAGATGAAAACTCCAAATTCATACTTATCTAAAAAAGTTGGAGATTTTTAAATGAACAATAGGCCCTCCCTTTCAAGTAAAATAAAGTCATGAGAAAATATAGGATACCAGATAATGTCACAACGTTAGGAACATGAGTAAAAAGTTAACCAAAAACATATTAAAACTGAACTTAAAATAACATCAGTATGCTAACATGCTCACAGTAACAAAGCTAACATACTGTATCTCCCATGCTCGTAGTTTTAGTTAGCCTGAGGCTGTTTTAGCTTTTGCTAACTGGCACGGCCCAGAAACCACAGTCAAACTGTTACATTCGTTTTGGAGGCGTTTTGCTGCATAGTAAAAGTAAACATTTTAGAACTGATGACAGCTAGGGGTGGAACCAAATAACAATACTGCAATACATCGTTGTCCTGACTCTGTGTGTGATACAATTATCCTATTGTTTGTGCCAGTTCTCACATTTTAATTAGGAAAGGCTTTTTAAAGATCCCCCTGCCACTTTGACTCACTGCACCACCACTTCATGACTCACAGTGGCACTTGTGACATGAATAAGGATAACTTGGACAGAAGTTAATTGTCCCAAGAAGAAGCTGACAGTAGGATAAAAGACAAGATAGGAGGAAAATCTTGCACAGCAGTGAAGACATTTAAACATGAATGGCAGTGAATAAATACATTAAGCGTGTTACCTTTATAGGGGCATTTGTATTCTTCACTTAATCAGATATCGTGATGTATTATTACATGACTGTCTTGCAATACATAGTTATCGCTAACAAAATGCTGTGTCAGTATTGTGGGCTATGTATCCTGTATTGTATCGTGTCAAAACCCTTTAGATCATTAGTTGGATGAACACTTAAGACATTTCAAATTCAATGGAAATCCATTCTACTTTTCAAAGAATTGTTTTCAAAAGAGGAAAGGTCATAAGAAAAAGTAGAGGATCAGCAAAGTCATTAGGGTTCATAATGGGGAACAATGTACACAATATCATAGCAATCCATCAAATAGTTAGAAAAAAGACTTATAGACTTATATTTCCTCTGACATTGCCGTCCCTAAAGACACACAGCTAACATGGCTTACATTGTCACCTAATTCAATGGTAATAGACTCTAATCATTCATCCTTATAATAATAATTGCTCAGTAACATGACAAAATAAAAAATTGTTGGTTGGAATATGTAATTTGTTGCACAAACGCTTAACAAAAGACCTGTACATACCGATCAGAGTGTTCCTCTAACACCTGGTAGACGCTGACGCGGAAGGTCTCATTCTCAAAACGTTCGTGGATGAAGTCTTTATAAATACGAAACTCAGCCGCAGTGACCGCCTCTCCTTCTGGGATCCGTGACAAGTCGAATCTGAACTCTTGGTGATGTCGCCGCACTGGTAGGAATTCTTTGTCATGCTCCACTGCAAAAGAAGAAAGAAAAAAAAAACCACAGATATAAACTAAAATGTATCATCAGATAGATTTTATGCAAGCATAGATTGTAGCTTCTTCTTGTGATTGTGAGCTCTAACACCCCCCCCCCCCCCCCTTTACCTACAGGAATACCAAAGGTATGAGCAGGAAGTCACAGGGAGCTTCATATGAAACCAAAAAGTTTGAATGTGTGGTATTAAGTTGCATTAGAAGAATCACACCAGAGAGAATAAGAAATTCAATTTCAACCCAGATTCCACTCAGATTTTTTCCTTCCTCCACAGTCCATCATTTCCAGTTGTTAGCAAGGAGCCGACGTGGCTTGTTGGACTCTGGGATGGTGCCAGAAACAGAACAGAATATCTGTAGATATGCTGTACACGTGTTGGCTTAAGACTGAAACATTTAGGACTCGCACTAGCAGCGATGCATCTGGCGCGAGTGGAGTCAATGATAGAGAGATGCAGGCGGACTCTGACAGCTTTATGAGTCCCTTTCTTCTCGCTCTTTTCCTCTCAGACCCCCAGAGAGTCGTTCTGTCTGCCCTTCATCTGGTTCTCATGAGTTGGGGCTCAATGTTTGGTGTAACCTCCTCACTCTTGTCACTACATCCCCAGCCCTGAACCCCCCCCACCACCACCACCACCACCAAGACCTGGCCCTGCTGACCCTGCTCCTCTCATGTGCCAGCAGGATGTCCCAGGGGTCAGCGCCTTGTCTCTCATCATCTCCTGGCTCTTCCTCCACCTTCCTCTTCATCAACTGTCAGACAGACCCCCCACATGTATATGCATCCATGCATGCACAAATAGATACATGAAGGCACACAAAAACAATCACTCTAAATTAGTCTGCAAAAAAACACAAAAACAAATTCCTTTATTAATTCATTAAATAAAACCAAAAGTAGACTCTCCAGCTGTAACTTAAGCTCACTGAAGGTTTGGGCTAAATCTTAACATTAGCCTGCTAACATGCTCACAGTGGTAGGTTAATAGGTTTATTAAGCACAATGGCTTACCATGTTAGGAAGCTTATATCTGTAAATAAGCCTTACTAAGCCTGATAATCTGGTTAGTTTTGCAGGTATTATGGTCATTAATATAGACTGCAAATATCAATGGATGAAACCCGAATTACATCATCTGTTTCTGCAGGAAGCTTTGGAGGCCCATCGATGGCGGTCGCCATGCCGGAAATGCTGTCTCAACTTAGCCTTCAGTCTACCTAATAACAGGCTAAGCTTCTTGACAAACCGTTACATCGAGCTCACCTGTCAATCATGTCAGCTGTGCGACTTATTGAGAATAACGCTTATCCTTCATAAAATCAAAACGGATGAGTTCAACACTGGAGGTTACCGCTTGGTCATAAATCATACTATTAGAGAAGTAGGGTTTTTCTCACAGAATGAGTTGTGATAAAGCGAATCATAAGTGTAACATCGAAGCTTTGATTTCCAATAACTGTTGAAAGGTTTCTGTCAAAGCAATAAATGGAAATCAAACGGATCAGGGAAATACTCATTTACGTTCTCACATCACAAACAGGGCTGAGATGGACTCTGGTGGCAAGCACACATTAACAGACAAATACAGACACAGACACAGACACAGACACACAGACACACACACACACACACACACACACACACACACACACACACACACACACACACACACACACACACACACACACACACACACACACACACACACATTTATTAGCACTAAGTAGAGGATTTTTTTGAGGACAGTGTTCTTGTTCTATGCCAGCTGTCAGTCAATTAAGTGTGCAGTGATGTAATGTAACTGAGTGCATGTTTCTCTGACCAGCTGGTGCCTGTAATGTCTTTCACAGCACACCTGCCTCTTTGTCCTCTCCCACCTATAATGCAGTCTTTCTATTGGACTTTCTCTACGCCCTTTTCATTAACCTTTTATTAAACTCTGCTCCATGAATGGCATTATACAAAGGCACTACTGAGATGAGATGACTGGCCAGAGCAAAGGTAAAGCAAGCCATGAATCGAGTAACTCTGCACTACTCTTCTTGAAGTTGTCAGAGTTACAGGTAGTGTGGACTTCACAGTGGGCCTTAATAACATTTAATAGTAATCAACATCACCTCTGCTGACATCTTTTTATTTATTCATCGCCTCTTCAAATCTACCAGCCTTATACCAATCATGTAATGTTAAGTACTCCATCTCCTCAGGCTATTATCAAGCCCCCAGCTTTCAAGTCACTGCTGAAATAGTCAAACGCTCAGGGAGTCATCAGCATGGATCACGACTAGAACCTCACACTGTGTTTTACACATGATATCACTACAGAGGTCCCCAAACTTTTGGCTGACCCCTTAAGTTTTGAGTATTTTGCTCATATTTCCCCCCTCTCAGATTGCTTAGTTTAATAAGCTTTACTAAATGAAATGGATGTAAAATTGAAAATTTTTAAAAGCTTTGACCGAACTAAGAAAATCTTTATTTCTTGCTTAAATCAAATATTGAGGACAGTCTGTCTCCATGGTTATGAGTTTGTATACAGACATCACCCACCAATCTGCATGGGCCGCTGTAACATATGTACCAGTAATACCTTTGGGATGCTTTCCCCCACTTTGAAGCATCATCCAGGGCATCCTTCTTTTCTAAAACACCTTTTGATCTAATTTAGTAAAGAAAAAACAAGTTATTATCCATCCAGTGAACCCTGGACCTTCTCACTTTGTCATTTCTCCTTTAAACCTCTGTGCTCCAGGGTCTGCTTATTCCTCCACCACACCAGGAAGCCCCTCCCTCCTCCTGCAGGTGCACCCCCTCTGGGGAGAACGCCAGATCTGTTCTTAGAGCAACCGCCCACCCCTTCACTGCACAACCTCTTTATCTTTGTCTGGGAGAACAGCTGGATGCTGCTGTGTAACTCCCACTCTCGCATCGCTTTCAATGTCCACTCATGAGTTTCTTCTATTCAGGTTTTGAGAAACTAAGAGCAGCGTACAATATTCACAGTTAGCTTCTGGTACGATTATGCTTTGGTTTTTTAAACTTTCTCTTTGGTTATTACAGCAGTATGGCAGTCATTAGATGAGGGGTAGAGGCACAGTCAAAGCCAAGCGGTGCATTTATGACTTCCCGTGGCAGGAAGTGAGTAGCCATCACCCCACCTGTGTCGCAGGCACATGAACACACACACACACACACACACACACACACACATATACACACACCACAAACGTGGTGAACACGCCCTTTCATGCTATACGAGCCCCTTGATTCAGAGTGCACACATGTACACATTCAAATGCACACAAACAATGATCACAAAGTATTTCCTGTGAAACGAACAGTCTTGTGCGTCACAGCACAGTAACACAATCATTATGGGTTTCTGTAATCCGTAATTAGAGATGCTGCGACGAACACACACACAAAAACAAACACACATACACAGTCACACACACACAGTAAACTGCTTTTATCATTTGCTCTGCATCTGAGTTGCTGCTGATGATGCACAGTTATCCCACATCATGGACTGTGCAGGCCACACACGTGCACAGCAGAACACATCAGAGACATCAGTATGATGAAGATGATGAAGTCTTCCAGCTGTGCACCCGGCAACCAAGAGGATAACTAGCGTGTCAGAGCTGTGTTAGCATCTTTTAAGATTTATGCCTCTCCAATGGGAATACAGCTTATTTATCATGTTCTCCACTGCAGAGAGTCTGAGCGCGCTCACAGCCAAAACCTCAGATATTCCTCCTGAACATACTTAGTTATTTGAGGTTCACCATCATCTCTGAATGTGGTAAAACTAAAATCCTTTTAAAAACAGTTTTCATTCATAAAAAGCAGGCAATCAATCAAAATATTTATCTGCCTTGTGTTCAGATTTAAGTTTTCTTGAACAATGCCCATTATGGACAAAAGAATGAATCCTACCAGCCATTAGCAATGCTGCGATAACCTGGTCATATGGTGGCCCTGAAGGTCAAAACACAACTTGTTGAAATGTTCTTTCTTTGTTGAAATGATTTTGTGTCCTTTCACATATTTTTATGCTGTTTTTGTTGAGTGGTTGTATGTTGTTCTGTTTTGAACATCAGGGCCACCGTATCATGTTTTTGGCCTGATTATTAAAAACAGGGTAAAAATAGGTACTGTAATAAATCTAATTATCTCACATACAACATCCTGATCCTGTAAATACTCTGTAAAAAGTCCTCAGCATCGTTCCTCAGCTAAGTTGAGTTCTTTTTTAGATTTACTTCTTCATTAGGAAATAACAGGCTGATGGCGGATAATCACAGACAAGCTGAGGAAATAAAAAGTCTCTAATACACCACTCCTCCTTTCCCCCCTCCCTCTCCTCCTCCTCTCCCCTCCGGGGCCAGTAGACCTAAGACACTTCTCCGACACCTCCAGCTCCGGAGCAGCAGCGGACAAATCTGACTGCTCGCATTAGCCCAAGTGTCTGTTGGGCGCCCTCACACCTCGCACGCTTCCGATGCTCTGCAGGAGGGGGATTTCACCTTTTGCACCACTCTCACTTTTTTAAACCGACAGCTTAAGCTCCCAGCCCTCCACCCCTCCCCTCCCACCTTCAATTCCTTTGAAATAATTGTGCCACTATTATCCCATTTAGCCCATAAACTTTTGATTCCTAAAGCCAGAAACTAGCCAAGCAAAAGGTCAAACAAATCGGTTGGGATTATTTAATGACGAGACTCTTGGGGCTCCTAAAAGGACAGTAACACAAAACATCAGTCATTTGTAGGATTGAGGCACCATAGTGGTCTTTTTTTCCCCTTCTTTTTGTTGCTCTTACTTTAACTATGTTTTAACTAGACGACTGGGAACTAGTAAGTCATAGTTTCCGTAAACGAAAAGGAGCGACAGGAAGAAAAACTGAGAGGGCTGATTGCTAAAGATGTTTATCCTATAAAGAGTAAAGAGAGGGTTTGATCTCCCGTGTACAGG